TATGTCCACGAAAACCCGCCATTCGTCTGACTGTGCGATGGCCTCAACTGGATGACAACTGAAAAATTCTGAGCCACAGCGTACTCGGAAGTAACGATTGGTGTAGTAGGATTTGAGGACTAAGTACAAGGATTGGGATAAGAGGGTTATGAGCTTGAAAAGTAAACCATCATGCCAAAGCCAGTCGAAAGCTTGCGCTACTTCCAGAAAGGCACCAGTGCAATATTGCTTGCTTCCAAGAGCAAAGGATATATGGTCAACAATACTTGGGCCTCATTGAACTGTGGAGTATTGGGGGCGGAAACCAAACTGATGTTGAGGCATATCTTGAGATTCTATTATGGGGAGGGTTCGCTTGAGAAGGATTTTTTAAATAATCGGGAGCAGACTTATTGGTCTATAGGATGAAGTATTATTGATAGATTTGCCTTGTTTAGGGAAGAGGATAATTATAGAATGTTTCCACATCAGACGAAATTGGGTTGGCCGGAGGATACAATTATATAGATTTGTAAGGAATATAATGGCTTGTTTGGGAAATTGCCTAAGAATCTGGGAAGTTACGAGACCTTATCCAGAGCATTTTCTAGGTTTTAGGTTTTTATAAGAAATTTGGCTTCAGAGGAGTTAACACCTTTAGGAGGCATGGACAACGGGATCGGTGAAGAGAGAAATTCTTTAACTTCGGCAGTGTTGGTGGAATGGAGTTCGGGATGGGGAGTGAATGTGTTGGAGAGTTGTTTAGCGAATTCTTCTGCTCTATTCTCATCTGATAAAGCCCAGGAACCATCATCAGGGTGAAGTGGATGGGAAATGGAATGGGATTTAAGGTTTTTTTATAGTTAATTTCTAGAGAAAGTTATCATATCCAGATAGTGAGGAAAGCTCGGAATTCTAGAATTGTGGTCTAAAGTTTGTTAGTTTATTTTTTAGTTGTTTGGGATAATAGTTTCATGACTTCCGATCATACGGATGCCTGTTTTTTTGCCGGAGAACCCTTGAACATTATTTGGTACGGATAAGGTCCAATTGGTCTTAGGACAAATGATTTATATTGCGATGTTTCAGGAAACAGTCAGGTGAGGGTGCAGACCAAACTGCTTGTTGAATCAAAGTAGCAAAGGAGTGCACAGCATCATCTAGGTCTTCAGGTGTTTTTAGGGAAACTCTGAAGTCTATATTATTGGTAAGGATTTGACGGACCTTTATGAATAAAAAAGTCAAGGAGGTCGGGATCGTTGGCTTCACGTACAGTAAGGATCAGTTGCCCAGTAGGTAGGAGTATCTGGGGAAAGGATATTGCTGCGATGGGAATTAAGTACAGACAGTAATGTTCGCTCAAGGGAGTTTGTGGTTCTGGCTCCCCATTGCTGGTGTTTTGCATTTAAGTCTGCACCTAGAAGGAAATGGTGTCCTAAGTAATCAAGAAAGGATTTAAATTTTTTTTTTAAATAATGTTAGGAGGAGAATATGCCGTAACTAGTGTTACTTGGAAGGAAGAATTTTCTATTATTACGGCTGTGGATTCTAGGTAATTATGGGTTTGTAAATAAAACAAATGATGGGAAAGGAATCGATGAATGAATAGAGCAGTGCCAACATGCGCTGTTCCATCGCAGTGGTCGTTTCTGTAAATATGGTAGTCGGGGATGTTGAATAGTAGTTTTCGGTTAGTCAGGTTTTAGTTATTAGCGCTACGTCAATATTTTTGTCATGTAGTAAAATTGTTAGTTCGTTGATGTGATTTCAAATTCGCATTCAAAAGAAGAATGGAGAGGGGTTTGGTTGAGGACGTTTATGAATTTCTTGGCGGTTGGATGTGGTTGGTTACAACACTTGTAAGTAGGGTGATAAGTGGGGTTATAAGAGATTTAAACTCAGAGATAAATGAGGTAAGTAGGCTGATGAGGTCATAAGAGTTGTTAGGAGGAGGAATGTAGGAAATTTGATGTTGGTGGGATTTAAATCAAGGTGAGGAATGGAAGGTTGTGGTTGATGAGTTTGGGGATTATGAGGTTTCTCAATAATTACATGCGTATAATACAGACGGGGCACTTCTCTATTTTCTTTGTAAATATTGATTATTTACGTACTTTGTATTCCCTGGCCGTCAATTCTTCTTTTATGGCTTCTGGAGGAGTTGGGGGATGCAGTCGTCTGATCACTACTCTCTAGGCTCTGTCTTAGCGTAGTTGATACGTATGAAAATTTGGATTCTTATCAGATAAATATTTAACGATTAATTTATAGGTTTCAGAGGTGTCAGGCATATATTTTGTATCGTTAGTACGACTTTGGCACTCATACTTTCCCATGGCTGAAACTTTGTTCAAATGTTGGCACAATAGTGGGAGATTTTTGATAAATATTGGTGGTCGCTTTGCTCTAACCAAATTAGGACTCATACCAAAATTAACAGTTGTTTTAAATAATGAAATTAAAGTGAGATCCGTGTTAAATTTTCTTAAAGCTAATGATTTACTAAACAAAATTTAGACATTGTTTTTTTCGGTATAATAATTTATTATTGAAATAATTGCAATGAAGATTAGATAGGCCTTCATGAACTCGGGGCCTTACGCCTCTAAGCCCTAAATAAGAACTATTTCTCTTTCAATGACTACGATTAAGATGGGCAGAAATTGGGAAGAATGCTGTGGGAGGCATTGTTGGATTGAAAGCTTGGCTAACCATGGCAAAAGACAAAAAAACAAAAAAATGGTTGGGATACCTTGATGGGCCAAAGACCCGTACGGGGATATAGCCTGTGATGATGATGAGGGATACCTGATATTTTATTGATCTCTTAAAAACAGTGCAAGCGAAAGTAGAATTTAAGAAATTGTAGATAATAGACAATTACTCTGGCTGCGATCTACTCCATGTTTTGAAACATTTTGAAACGCCTTGTCCTCTGGTTTGAAACATTTCATTGCCTTCATTTAAAAAGTTACAACCCCGTAGATATGTGCCCCGTCACAAATTCAAAACTCTCATGTTCTTTTCGGATTCCTCCTTTTAACATGATCAGTTATTATAATCATATAGGCAGTTGCTATAACTTTTTTATTAGCGTTTCCTTGAATATTTTTACTTATAGGAGAACAATTATAAATTAAATAGGTTCACATAATAATAAATATAAACTGCTAGCTGTTAATTAAAGTATATGTTGTAATTTGATAGAAACATTTATTTGTTTAAATTTATTTAAATCAAAATCCCTTAATATTATAAGAAATACAAAACATTTTGTAACATTTCAAATCACAAAAAGTAAAAACATTTTGTAAAAGTGTTAAGCAAATTAATTTATTGTTTAAAGCAATTATTATCCAACAATATTATTAAGCGGATAATAAATATTTATAGATTTGTAAGTCTTGCGAATATATTAGATGTTAGTGTCAGTAAATAAAGTACGGCGATTTCTCCCTTGTCCAATTTGTTTGGAACATGTATTTAATCCATGAAAATCCTCATGATGAAAACTACCTGACTGTATAAAAAAATCCTCCAATAAACCGTGGTTTCAATCTGCATATAAATAAATTCGTAAAAAACATTCCAAACTTAATGAGGTGGGGTAGAGGGAGAGTGTCGGATCCTTGCTACCGAAGTCCACGGATAAAAATCCTCGTAAGAACAGTAGTATTTTATAATTAAAATTTTAAATGGAATGATATGGTTTGGTATGTCGTTTAAAATATCAACCTTCATGGTATATTCACACAAACTTTATGTGTGTATATACGAGTAGCATATTAAATGGGAGAGGGTCCAGTCTATGGATGTGGGAGCTCTTAATTCTGCATTGATCTGATATTTGTAAGATGGAAGACAGCAATATGGCAACCAGGCCTCAGGGTGGGGCAAACGGGACAATCACCTCGGGGCTCCCTTGGGGGCCGCCGGCCGATCTTCAGGGGCGCTTACCATTCGTTAGAATTAAAAAAAAAATACAAAACCCCTTAAAATAATTAATTTTAGCCAGTCAATAAAGCAACTGTATTAGAGAAATGTTGAATGAAATAAAATTCAAATATTGCATAATATAAAAACAGCTTAAGAAATAAATTTAATTTTTTTTTTTTTTTTTTTTTTGGGGGGGGGGGAGAGATGACCTCATTGCACAGTGGCGCAGAATGTCTTTGGGCAGCACTGATTGCAACTATATTGTCAGTCAACCAACTAACCTCATAATCATCAAGTGAACTGATCAATCAGTCTTACTCCTGATGGCACTTTTGGGGTGAGCATCCCTTCTGAGATTAAGCGAATGCCCTATTCGGAAAGTTGTGGGTTTGATTTCGTCCTGGGTAAGTTAATATTTATTTCTAAGCGGTCCCGAGAAATGGATCTTGTCACTCTCACTAGGATTATGACGACGGGGCAGACGACCACTAAGTGGTAGGCCAAGGCACTTGCCGGACTGGTCCCCTCCACCAGCAAGTACAAGCACTTAAAGCAAGTACAAACACTAACACAAGCACTTTCCATTTATTTTTTAATATGAACTAAAGAGTTTCTAAATCTTCAAACATTTTCAACATTAGTAATAATAACAAAAAATACTTCATATACAGGGTGTCTATTAAGCAGGATAAGATGTTTATAGGAGTGATAGCAGACCTCAACAGCTACAAAGAAGTTCATATAAATAATGGGCAAATTTTGAGCAGAAAAGTAGGAAATCCAGATATTGTGTTTTTAAAAGTTTTACTGTAAACTAGAAGAAATTTACTTCAAATGAGAACAGGGCTTGCCAGCGCTAAAAACATTTAATATATTAATCATAATTGCCTAAATACGCTTTTATTTAATCAAAAAAAAAAAGAAATTACCTACTTAAAAAAAGCATAAAATTTGGATTTCCTACTTTTCTGCTGAAAATTGGCCCACTATTTATATGCACTTTTTTTGTAGCTCTTGAGGTCTGCTATCACTCCTATAAACATTTTCTCCTACTTAAGAGGCACCCTGTGTTCATATATATATATATATATATATATATATATATATATATATATATATGTATTGTTCAAATCTTAGGCATTTATTTAGCAAATAGGAAGAAAACAATAGTACATATATCGATTAGATAAGGTATACTCATAAAGATATTGTTATTTTTTAAGTTTAGTACAGTAATGTTAGGATTCACTTAGGATCAATACATTAATGCCTGTTACCAAGGCTGTTATTTGAGGGCAGGGGAAACAATTATAGGGCGGCACATTTGCAGCGAAATTTTATTTTAAAATTTGAAATAAGACATTAAATTTTTAAATAAATTGAAATATTTTTAGTTTGCGTAAAAAATAGTTGTTCTTTGTCTTTTATTCTTATGACATTAACCCAGTCAATATAATGAGTTAATGACATATCAGACGATGATATATATATCGGATTATTATTATATAAAATAATTCTATAAATCTGACTTTACAACAATTAATTTTATTAGATGATCCAAGTCCTGACCCTGTCTGTTACTTTAATGTATTCATCTGCGTGTAATAATATAATATAAGTGCGAATACCAACGAGGTAAAACCTGTGATTTGAACAGTGAAATCACACTTTAGCATAAACGTCAGACACAAACGATGAATGAATTATTTATTTCATTATTTCTTTCGACTAATGATAAAAGATTCTGCCGAGTTAGATTTGGGTATATATTCGGAATAAAAAAAACACACAAATCTAAAACATTCGGATGAAATATTAGATAATAGCAGTTCACAATTTGTAAGCTTGTCGTATCATCAAGTCGAAGTAAGCATCAGTATCGATTGAAGCACTGACTCCAGCGTAATAGTTGAGGAACTCTTCTCTAGTGATCTGAAAAAGAAAAAAGTTTGTTTAATTTATAAATTATAATTTAATATAAAATAACTTAATTACAATGGTTGCGTATAGGTTCCTTGGACATCAACTCTAATGTACTTAGCAAATTTAATAAATGGCTCAAAGCTTAGGCATAGACTTCGGAGAGGGGGGGGGAGGGGCCGATCGACCCCCCAATAAAAAATATCGTTTCCACGCCCTCCCCTCCCTTCCCCCGATATTTCGATGAAGGAGATATTAAATTAAATTCAATAACAATTAATCTAGATGAATGTATAAAATAAGCACATAAACTGAAATCAATTAAGAAAACAGGAAATGTCTCAGGCCTAGAAATAGGTATGCAATTATTTTACTCGAGCCTATGTCCCAATTATTGAAATTTTATTTCATATTCAAAGATAATTGTATATAGCAAGATACCCTTGGATTGTATGATTCATTAATGTGAACCCCTTTATTTTTACGTAAAGAACATTTCTCTCGGCAAATTTGTATCGGAGAATTGAGAGTTCATCTCACTACCTCAAACATTTATTAAATTTAAAAAAATATATTTAATATATTCAGTTACATTATTAACATGTTTTCAAATATAACTTTTAAATTTATTTTTAAATAGTCAATATTTATATATATTGTTCGTTTTAAAATAATTATTTTGATTATGTTAATTATTACTCATAATTTTTATTCATTAAATAAATTCCCAAGACTTCTTTTTTGGAGGGGGAATGCATCGCCCCCTCCCCCCCCCCCTCCCTCAACCTCAATGGTAAGTTTGAGTTTGTGGCGAGCAGGCCTTCAGTTCCACCAGTTGACAAATAATTCCAGTATTATTTTATTTATAGTTCAAATCAGTGCCTCTCTGCGTTATTGCTTAAGATTGCGTTTGATAATTCAGTTGATTGTGTTTCTTTTTCACTGCATTAATTTAGGTTCAACCAGCTCATGTTGTTTACAATTGGCTTTGATAAATTCTTCGAAATACATAAATAACGCTTATACAGTCTATGAAATACCCTTCCCGGTACTCCACCGCTACATTTCTTTTCATTTTATAGCATTTTTTAAAAAATAATTATTACATTTTTGGCAGCTTTGCGCTAAACAGTTTTTTAAAAATTATATCAAAAAACGTAAAGTTAAGTTTTGGAATAATTTTTTTTTTAATCTTATGAAAACTATATGAATTATATTATATACTAACGGGGGTCACTGGATGTGTTTGGAGAGATTCACGAGGCTTTTGTTTGACAGGCGAAGAAGGAGGCATCGTGCTTAGCCAACGAATTTTCTTAATAGAAGTTCTACTAGCACGGTCTGATGGAGATGTCGCATAAAATAAAAGAAACGGGAAAAAAAATTATAATTTATAACTGTACGTAGTAAATATCAGTTGTTCTTATGTACCCTTGACCTGTTTTAAATGAATAATCTCAGAGATTGCGCTGATCGATTCTAAAAGTTATTCTAAAAGTAACATTTAGGTGTCAATAAAACCGTTACATAGTTACTACTAGGCCATCGCCTAACTAGCTAATCGGCTTTTCTTAATCGATTTTAGTAACATTTTATTCTTTCATTTAGCTTATTTATTATTATTGATTTTAATTTTTTTTTTGGAAATAATTTATTGAGGGAGAGGGAGGGAGAGAAATAATATTTTCGCTCCCTCGAATTTTTTATTGGGGAGGGGGGAGGGAAGGAGGATGATGATCACTCTCTTATACCATTAAATGACAACCTTTACAAGGTGGTTGCCGAAAAAATATCAAAAATATCAGGCCCACAGTAAGAAACTACAATAAAGACACGGTTAAGATTCAATGTTATACAAGGTAATTTTCATAAGCTATACTATACATTAATTGAGTATAAAATTAAATATGATATATATCGAAATTGTTCTTATTGATTTTTTTAAGACAGTGAAATAATATAAATTTAAACTAAATGTTCACTAAAGGTAAATGTAAGCTATTTGTAAAATATAGAAATTTATACCGTTCCATCGACGCATCCTTTTTCAAAGTTTGCCATAAACTTTCGTAAGATCTGATCTTCTGACATTTCGCCACTCCTGTACTTAGGATGATCCCTTACACTATATACTCCTCTTAAGTCTTCTAAAGTGATCACTCCATCTTTGGTCTTGTCCAGTTTATCAAAGGCCTCGTTCACAGATTTTTTTCTTGCCTCGGACATACCAGGCTGTAAAAATGTTTATTTACTGGTATTACAAAGGAAAAAAATGTGTTAAATCGATAATATAAAGTGGCAATTTCGATTAACCGATTTTAAAGGAAAAGTTGCTGTAACATCACAGGCTTACATCCTGACTTAAATAATGTAATTTCAGTTTCGTGTGGCTTTTAATTTTTGAGCTAGACTGTTCACACACACCCACACACAAACACACACACACTCACACACGCACGCAAACACACAAAACGTTTTGCGAGACTTGGTTATTTAGTCTCAGTGGACCTCAAAACGTGTATTTTCATTGAAAACTCAGATTAGAAAATTTTCGCTTCCCTTATTATATATTACTTATATAAGCAAGTGAAAGTAAAAAGGAATATTTACCATTTATAAAATGTGGTTTACTGATTAATAAACCAAAGCTTAACCAATAGCTTTAATAACAGATTGATCTATTCGGACCAGTATATGAAGTTTCTAGTGTGGTTTAGAAACAAAGAAGTACTTGATCAGGAAATGCTAGAATTTGATTGTAAATTCCATATTTAGCTATAAAGCAATATAGTTGAAATCAAATTATATTATAGTAAAAGAATATTTTAAAGGTTCTCATTCTTATAACTTAAGACTCGGTACATAAATATAAGGCACATCCAGTTGGCCACTAAGGTTCCCCAAAAGCTGCCACCTGATGTTACCATTTTATACTATACTTGTTTAGCTAAGCAGAAAAGCAACAACAATCGTTTTTTATTTATTTTTTTTTATTTATTGAAAAATATTACAATCTGTCTCAATTACATTTATAATAGTTTTCACAGATCACATTCACACTCTATGTACAGTAAATGAAATAAATTATACAGAAAAATAACATATATACAATAAATAAGAATAAAATAACCTAGAAATAAATGAATAAAAAGAACACATACATACCTATATACAATATTTACAATCTGGTGAGAAAACTCTAAACCAGAATTGTCCCTCTAAGTGTGGAGGGAAAGCATGGTTTCAGGAGATCCCAGCACTTCTCTCTCAACCGCGTCACTAGGGCTAAACCCGGTGGAGATTGAGCAAGAGTGCTTAAGCCACATACACTCATGTCGTGAGTGGAGAATCCGGCCATTGCCAGAACTCCAATATTTACAAACTATAAAAGGTCGCGGGGCCACTGCCGTTTTAACCTCCTTGGAGGATTATATGGATGGGTGGTGCTGGATAGAGATTGTGCAAAGGGATTTGGATGATGGGTAAGGTTCTGGTGGAATTTGGAGAATTTTGATGGGATAAGGTCTAGGACAAATGGGATATTAAGGTCATGGTGTAGGGTTTTGTTGGTTACATAGAAAGGAGCATCGACTATTGTTCGAAGGACTTTGGATTGAAAGGATTGGATGCGTTTGATGTTAGAAAATTTTGCTGTTCCCCACAGTTCAAGTCCGTAAGTCCAGATAGGTTTCAATATTGTCTTGTAGATCAATAACTTGTTTTCAATAGAAAGTTTAGATTTCCTGTTTAGTAGCCGGTATAGTTGGCCATATCGTCGGTTTAGTTCCTGTCTTTTAAGTCTATTATGAGGGTTCCACGTTAGTCGTCTGTCTAAGAGAAAGCCAAGGTACCGGACTGTGTCTGAGAAAGGAAGCTGGATGGAATTAAAGTGTACTGGTGGATAGGAACTGCGTCGGAGCGTGAAGGAGATGTGTTGGCATTTGGATTCGTTTACTTTAATACGCCATTTATTACACCAGTGCTCAATCAGGGAGATGTGTCTTTGAAGGTTTGAGGATGCTATATCAGAATCTGAGTCGGATGATAGAATGGCGGTGTCATCAGCAAAAGTTGCCAGGAAGGTATTGGGATGGAGAGGGATATCGGCAGTAAAGAGGATGTAAAGGACGGGACCCAATACGCTACCTTGAGGAACACCTGCCTCAATTGGATAGCAATGCGAAAATTCAGTACCACAATGAACTCGGAAGGTACGATCTGAGAGGTAGGAACGGAGAACAAGGTACAAGGACTGAGGAAGATAGTTTTTCAGCTTGGAAAGAAGCCCGGCGTGCCATACCCGGTCGAAAGCTTGAGCTATGTCCAGAAATGTACCCGAGCAATATTGTTTGCTTTCCAATTGCTGCGGAAATATGATCAACCACTCGGAGTCAGTGTTGGACTGTGGAGTGTTGTGAACGAAATCCGAACTGATGGGAAATAAGATTTTGGGATTCTATAAAGGGTATGATGCGTTTCAGGAGGATCTTTTCAAAGATTTTTGAGAGAATCGGAAGAAGGCTAATTGGTCTGTAGGAAGTTGAGGTGTTGGGAGGTTTGCCTGGTTTCGGAAACAGGATAATGGTGGAATGTTCACAAAAGAGGAAAGTGGGTGGTTCGTAGGATGCTATTGTATATGTATGTAAGGAATATGACAGCTTTAGGAGGGAGTTGTCTAAGGATCTGAGAGGTAAGGAGGTCGTATCCAGGTGATTTGCGGGTAGTTTTTGTAAGAGGAATTTGACCTCAGAAGGATTAACTGCTTTAGGCGGTAAGAAGAGTGGGACGGTTGAATTGACGTGAATGACGTGTGGGTGGGATTGGATTCTGGATGAGAGGTGAATGTAAGGGAAAGGTGTTTGGCGAATTCTTCGGCTCTGTCTTCGTCAGACGCTGCCCAAGAGCCATCACCTCGACGGAGAGGATGTGATATATGATGGGGTTTTAGGATATGTTTAGTGGTCTTCCATAGGGAATTGTCATGAGAAGAGAGGGAAGTAAGGTAGGAGTTGAAGGATTGGGATCTGAAGGTGGTCAATTCTATCTTTAATTTTTTGCAAAAATAATTATAGGATTGACGATCGGTGGGGTGTCTAGTACGTTGCCATAATAATCTGGCACGGCGTTTGGTATGGATTAGGTCTATGAGGTGTTGAGGTAACTTATTTTTCTTAGGAGTTCTTGAGGAGTGGTTTGGAGAGGAAGCAGTCCAGATTGCTTGTTGGATAGTGGTGGTAAAAAAGTGTACGGTATTGTCAAGGTCATCTGGGGTTTTCAGGGGCATTCTGAGGTCAATTTTATCGGAAAGGATTTGGTGAAAGAGTTTCCAGTTAACTGGGCCTCTGATGAAGGACGGTGGAGAAGACTCAGGAATAGGAGCTACAGATAATTGGAGCTAAAGATAAGGAAGGATACTGAAACGTGGGGAATTGAGCGCAGATAACAATGTTCTGCCACGAGAATTCGTGGTTCTAGAATCCCATTGATGATGTTTGGCGTTTAAATCTCCACCCAGGATGAAGTGATGTCCTAAGTAGTTGAGAAGAGAACTGAACTGGAAATTGGATATGGATCTGTTAGGAGGGCAATATGCTGATGTTATGGTGACAGGAAAGGAGAAGGTTTTGATTACGATAGCGGTGGATTTTAGGAAATCTTGTGTCGGTAATGGGAGCTGGTGATGAGAAAGGGAGTGGTGTACAATAACAGCAGTACCGGCGTGTGCTTTACCGTCAGGATGGTCAGTACGGTATGTTATGTATTGAGGTATTTTTAAATGCTTTTTTCTGGTCAGTCGTGTTTCCGTAATTAGTGCTACGTCGATGTTCTTGTCCAGTAACAAAGCTGTTAGTTCGTCAACGTGATTTCTAACATCATTCGCATTCCAAAGGAGAATGGATATGGGTTTTGGGATGTGAGTCATTAAGGATTTTTTAAAGGAGGGATGAGGTGAGGTACGAGATTTGTGAGGAGTGATATGAGTGGAGTAACTAAGGATTTAAAATTGGTAAGGAATGATGCCAGCAAACTGGTGAGATCTGTTGCATTAGAAGAAGGAGGGATATGATGAATTTTTTGTTGATGGTTAGGTTTATTTGGATCAATAGGATTTTGAGGTTAGGGTTGAGGTTGTTGTTGCAGCAGGGCTTGACAATTATCGGTTGAAGTCTTACCTCTAAGTAGCTGGGAAAATGATACACTGTTGTTTACTATTCTAGAAGGTTCTCTCTCTCTTCTTGGTTTTCCTGCTTCATCTTGAATCCGGTTTTTCTGGTGTCTGGATTTGAGATTCTTGTAAATTTGGCATCCTTTGTAGTTGGCCGGGTGTCCCTCCAAGCATAGTGCACACACTGCAGGATTTTGTATAGGTTTGGTGCACTCTTCAGATTTGTGCTGTTCACCACATTTCACGCAACGCGGCAGATGGTAACAGTAAGTCTTCGTGTGGCCATACGCCTGACTATTATGGCACTGCACGATTTCTCTCTTGGGGTATGGTTTCTCTACCTTCACCATTGTGTAATATAATCTTGTTATATGGTATATTTTCTCAATACCCGGTGATGGCTCCAGATCCACGAAAAATAAAGGTAGGGGAACTTTATTTTTTACTCCAGGCTGCTCCTTATTCTCCTTCATAACGTTGGTTACCTGACGTACTTTGAAACCAGGCGCCGCTAGTTCATCTTTTATCACCTCAGTTGGGGTTGAGGAGTGTAAATTTCTTATTACTACTCGTAACGATCTCTCCTGCCTAAGCTGGTACGTATGAAAATCCGCATTCGTTTCTGAGAGGTACTTCACTATTATTCGGTAGGTTTCAGCAGTATCTGGTGTTATTTTTGTATCGTTGGTACTGTTAAGACATGAATAACTGCCAGGGCAGATTTTATTTAGTTGGGTGCAGAACAACTGGAAATTTTTTATATTTTTCACAAATATCGGAGGAGGCCTTGGTTCTGTGGGTATTGCTGCAGACTCCATTACTTCTCGGTCATTTTGAAGCACTTGGTAGGGGTTTGGAGTAAAGAAAGGGGATTCTTCGATCATTTCTTGAGAAGTTCCTGGTATTGGCTGAGGTTCTGGTTCTGAAGTGTTCACTTTTGTTATTGGAGATGTTTCTCGTAGGCAGCGACGAGTCCTTTGTTTGGCTGGTGAGCTAACTCCGTCCGACCGAGCCCTCTTGGGCACCTTACTGGACATCACTTGGTGAGTATACCGCATACCATAGG